TGCCTTTAACAATAGATGATGACATGGATTCAATGGAATATGATAAATAAGCATAGCTGAGACTGCTATGAGTTCACCAAAAGCAATTTCATTTCTTCCTAGACATCAGAGAGACTACATTTCCCAGCCTTCTTTTCAGTGAGCTGCAGCCATCGACTAAGTCCTGGCGAATGGCATGTGGGCAAAATGATGTTGGCCACTTCCCCATCTGGCCCATCAAAATCTCTCGTGGTACTCCCCACCCTGCACCCCCTGCTCTGTCGTCCCCCATCAGCGGCCACACAGGATCCAGGCAGAGGGTCCAGGAGGGGCTCCCATCCCCCCAGGGGGATGGCAGAGCCACAAACTGGAAGGAGCCGGGGCCCGTGAATAAGCTCATGAAATGCTACCTGTCAAACGCCCTCCCCAAAACGCCACATACGCAAGCTGCTATGTTAAGCCACTGAAACACTGGGGTTGTACATAATAATAGCTAGTGTTAGCCACCCTAACTAATACAGTAGGTAAACAACCAAAATAGTATACATTCAGGTAGTGATCGGGGGAGGGGAAGGGGACAGATGGTAGGATGCGGGCAGTGCCAGGTAGGGCGGCCAAAGAAGGCTTCTCAGAGGAGGTGACATTTAAGCAGAGACTGGAGAAAGAGAGAGAGGGAGGCACTCGGGGAAAGCGCTGTGTTGGAGGCAGAGCGGGGAGGCAGGGGGAGGCAGGGGGAGGCAGGCAGGGCCCTCTTCCAGCCAGAGGCATTCAGAGCAGGCCAGGACCTCAAAGGGCCTCCGATCTGTCCCTGGCTGCCTGCCTTCGCTAAAGACCCCAGGGATGAGGAGATCCCTCGTTCAGGAGGCAGCTGTCTCATCCTCCCACCACTCGGGAGTGTATTTAAAAAAAAAAAAAAGTTATTTGTCAAGAGCCAAAATATTTCTTCTCTCTGGCTTCTTCCAGTTATAGTTCATGCAACTCTCTCAGGACCTACAGAACAAGTCTGACCCCCTCTTCCATATGACAGCCCTCTGGATTGTTGACGGCAGCTTCCTGCTCCCTGGGAAGCCCTGTCCTCATGAGGCTCAGCCTTCCCTAGTCCTGGAATCGCTCCTGCTCACACTTTGTCCTCCTTGGAGAGTAATTCCTCTGCTCTGTTTGCTCCTCACAAAAAGGAACATCGGAATGGAGCCCAGCCTTCCAGGTCCATTCTGATAGGCACAGAGCAGAGCAGTACTGACACCCTTCTCATCTCAGACACTACACCTCTGTTGATGCAACCTAAGACTGAACGAACGTGCAAGGTGCGTGGCTCACACTGCTGACCTCCCCTCTGCTCCTTGTGCAATCACACACCTGGTCTGGTTTGTGCGTACCGTTGCTGGGCCTAAGTCCCACTTACCCACGTGTGTTCCTGCGGGGCACTGTGCCGACCCAGGGAGGGGGACAACGCTCCCATCCACCACCTGGCCAAGGCAGTGGACCTTCCCATGTGGCCTTGTGCACAGCGGGGATGACACAGGAGACTTGGGGCTCCCCGCACCCTTTCCTCTTCCAGACTCAATTTTTCAGTCTTTGTGCTAAGGAGCAGATGACAAAGAAACGTCTTAACTCAGCTGGACAGGTGAGGGCCTGGCACTGAAGCCAACTGGGAACCTGCTTCTGACCTCTGTGATGCAGATGACAGTGCGCACCTGCCAAAGGGCTTACTCCGTGCTGGGCACGGGACCGCATGCATTAGGCCCCTTGCAGCAACCTGTTGAGGTAGGTACTGTCGTTTCCCCCGTTTTGCAGAGGGGCTGAGTATCTTGGCAGGGGTCACAGGGCCAGAAAGTGTTGGAGAGAGTTACAAAGCAAAAGGGAGTAAGTCACAAAACTCCTCTGCTCAAAACAGCCAGGGGCTTCCCATCCCACTGCCAGGAAAGCAGGAGTCCTCATCCCAGCGACTTAGAAGGCCCCCAGGGTCCGACCCCACCACCAAAGATGCTGTCCCCTGCCCACTCTGCCCTGTGCCCACTCTAGGCCAGGCACGCTGGCCTCCCGGCTGTTCCGTGACAACACCACTGTGCTCCCACCGCGTGGCCTCTGGCCCTTGTTCTGCCTTTCCTGCTGTTCCCTCCGTCTGGAACACTCCAGGCTCACAGGCTCCATAAACACTGGCTGAGTGAACAAATGAACGAGGTCTGAGAGTTGGGTGGGATAGGAGTCCCCAGGCCCTGCACCCTCTCAGGGTGGGACAGTCCTGGGCCTGAGCCACAGGACAGGAATCCAGCCAGTGCTGCTGAGAGCAGAGCCCAGACACCCAGGTCCAACAATCCCCAACGAAAGGAGCTAAAGAGCCAACCTCGCCCTCAGTGCCCATCGAACTCCGCTAATCCTGGTTTAAAGGCTTTACAAACGACGTATGGATTTTTCTTACTTTGTGTGTGTGTTTTTTCAGTACCCAAAATCATGTGATGTGTTTAGAAGGAACTTAGAGAAGCTAACATCTCAGACCCACTAATTGAGAAATCTGGTTTCAAAATATTGAAATATATATATATTTTTTAATACAAAAATCAATGTCAGGGGCGCCTGGGTGGCTCAGTCGTTAAGCATCTGCCTTTGGCTCAGGTCATGATCCCAGGGTCCTGGGATCGAGTCCCGAGTCGGGCTCCCTGCCCGGCGGGGAGTCTACTTCTCCCTCTCCCACTCCCCCTGCTTGTGTTCCCTCTCTCACTGTGTCACTCTTTGTCAAATAAATAAATAAAATCTTTAAAACAAAACAAAACAAAAATCAAAGTCATGTATGAAAACCTGTAAGAAGGAGGGTTGGGAAAAGCTTGCCTTGACTTCAGAGCCAGAACGCCGATTCCCTAAGAGAGGGAAGGGTTCACGGCCACACCCTGACCTCAGGGCCCAGGCGCAAGGGTTCTGCACTCAGGTGCCCTGGGTTTGGATCCTGGCTTTGTCACTTACTGGCCGTGCAACCAGCCTCCCCATGCCTGTTTCCTTATCTGCAAAATGGGCCATATAAACATACCTACCTGGGAGTTTCTCTGAGGGTTAAATGACACAATCAGCGCAAAGCCCCCACGGCAGCCCTGCATAGAGTAAGTGCTCAATAAACAGAAGCTACTGCTGTGATTCCTCTGCTCTTTTGGGTATGGGTCCCTCCAGGCCCAGCAAGGGGGCAGATCTGACAATGTGGGTCTCAGGCATCTCCTCTAGGAACTGGATATATCAGAAGAGAATGAGGAAAGGGGAAAGCAGAGGCGGGGGTGGTCACTCGCAGGCTCCTTAGCCCTCCCCTCATCTGAGCAGGTGGGGGGTCCAAGGTGGACTCACCAGGCTTGCCCTCGGAACCCCTGTCACTTATCACACAGGACTTCTCCAGATGGGGCAGTTTGACTATTGATCTGATAAATAAACAGCCTGCTGGCTCGATCAAAATGTTATTTTGCATTTCAATCACTGCTCACTAATGCAACCTTCATCCCCCCAAGATGCTGCCGGCAATGACAGGAGCCCTGCCACTGGCTTGAGAGGTGGAGCGCCCCCCGCCAGCACCAAACAGGATTGGTGGGGCTCTCGGTTAGGCCTGGGGTGCACAGCTGCTCTTGGGGAGGGGAGGAGGGAGGAGAAGAAAGGTCCTCGTGAGTGGAGACTGGAGGGGCAGGGTCTGCTCGCAGGCGGGCCAGACCGGGACACAGCTAGCCTAGCCAGCTGCCACCGCCCCACCCCCGCCCCGCCCCGCCCCGGCTCCGCCCCGCCCCGCCCCGGCTCCGCCCCGCCCCGCCGGGACCGCAGGCTCAGGCCTCGGCGCCCCCACTGTTTTAATGAGTGCATTACACTTGTCTGCACCTCAGCTGCCGCACTGGTAAATGGTAAACTGCCTCCAACAAAACTACCCTCTTCTCTTGGGTTGTTGTAAAGACTCAGTGAGAAAACAGACATGGAAGCCCCTTGGAGAAAAAAACAAAAGGATAGTAATGCTGCTGTATGAGTTAGTGGAATCCAAACACTGAATTTCCTTTCTAAGCTAAGTACTTACAATGTGCAAAGCAGTTTGCACACAGAAGCTTACTTAATCCTCAGAGTAGCTCTGGAGTTTTAGTCCCATTTTACAGATGGGAAAATCCATCGAGGCACACAGATGTTGAGGCACACGGCTTTTATGTCCCACTGAAGGGTCATGCCTTGATCTCTAATCCATCCCAACACCCATGTCTGGGAATTCAGCCACCCCGGGCGCCCCCACCCCTACAAAAATCAAGGCTGGCCACCAGGACCAGCAGGTGAACACAGCCTGCTCCAGAAGATACTCGGCTGTTCAGAAATCTGAACACCTGGCCATGCCTGGGTGACGGGGGACAGGCGGGAGAGATGTCACTTAGAAGCAGCAGAATTACCAGGGCCATGTCATCTGTGTGCAGAGCTGGGGGTGGGGGGCTGTGAGTCTTGAATGTAGAAAGTTCAAAGTGGATGGGATGGGAACCCCCCATATCAAAGGATTGGCAGCTACAAGCCTCGGGGGTGCCCCTTTGGAAAGGACTATACCCACCCCTCTGACCTCTGTGTGCCTTGGTGGAATTAAGGGTAAATTTTGGCTTTTGGCCTAGGTGCCAAAATTGCTTTGTATTTTTTTTTCCTTATCTCTCTCTCTCTCTCTCTCTCTCACACACACAGACACACACACACACACACACGCCTCTCAAGGGTAGGATTGCATTTTTATAGTTTACGTTTCTGGGTTTGTTTTTGTTTTTGTTTTTAAATAAACAGCACAAGGGGCTTCTGAGTTCTTACTATGTCTGGTAGAAAAAACCCAGTGACTAGCTGGTCTGGCTTCTGCCCCAGCTCTGAGGCTGTGTGTCCCTGAGACAGTTACTTGCCTTCTCTGGGCTCAGTCATTCTATTTCCTTTCCAGGGAAATGGAGACAGCTTTAGCCATCTGCCAGAGAGGCCTGAGGACATATGATACAGGGGGTGACACAGGGGCCCTGTGGAAGAAAGCTGGACTAACTGGTCCTGAGATTTACCTGGGAAGCAGGACGCCAGTCACAAGCTTTTGGCTCATGCTGCTTTCACAGGTAACTCAAGGGTTAAAAATGAAATCACCTAAAGAAAAAAAGAAATGCACATTACAAAATGAAACACTGCCTATAATACAATGGCCTGAGATCAATATGACATGTAAAGACTGGGAATCCATAACTCTCCAGTCTCCCACCCTGATGTGTGTGCCGAGCCAAATGCCAGTCCTCTGGCCCCCAAAGACAGAACCCCTCCAGCCCAGGATCCCAAGAGCAGGGCTTCTCCACGCACATCCGACAGCTGCCTGCCCAGCAGCTGGTCAGCTCAGCCAGGCTACACTGGGAGGAGCATCAAATATTGGCCCTCCCAAGTCCACATTCAAGTCTCTGCTCTGCCCCTTCCTTCCTCCATGACCTTCAGCAGGTTCCTGATGACCTTCTGAGTCTCAGTTTCTGCATCTCGAAAGCAGGGAAAACCCATCTTTGCTGCCTCGTGGGGTTATTATAAGGATCAAATTAAGATATTATTTTCAAAACCTTTGCAAAGTGTCAGCCTCCTGCAAAGCTGTCACACCCTGTGGCATTTCACAACTGGCTCCTGGAGAGGAAGTGACCAAGGTCTTCTGGACAATCAGTCCCACCAGGTGCCCACCCACTAATGAAGCTGAAACTGAAACCCAGCGGACTAGCACTTTACTCGTCTACCCAGTTAACCTTTGTCAGGCCCCTGGAAGTAAGTATTCTCGCTCTTCCTGTAAGGGCAGGTTTCCTTGTTAAATGTTGCTTCGTGGGTCGGGGTCAGGGGCTGATGACCCCAGGCCCCTCGGACTCCTGAGTTCTGAGCTTAACTTCCACATTTCACAGCGTCTCACCCTCAGGATTCCAAATGGGAACAGAAAGTTTAAAAACACAAAGGCAGAATATCTGACCAGCATGCCTCCAAACTGTCAAGGTCATGAAAACCAAGGAAGGTCTGAGAAACTGTCACAGACCAGGGGAGATTAAAGACACAGGACAACCAAATGCAGTGCAAATGCAAATGCAGGGGATTGTGGGCTGGATCCTGGAAGAGAGAGAGGGCATCAGTGGGAACGGGACTCAAATCTGGATAAAGTACAGAGTGTAGTTAACAGGCCTGTCAGTCTCTTCACTGGGACAGATGCACCAGGGTAATATAAGTGATGAGTGAGCGGGAAAACCACGGGAGTACGCATAGGAACTCGCTGCACTAGCTCTGGGAGTTTTCTGTAAATGCCAAATTAGTCTAATGAGAAGTTTTCTAAAAATTGATAAAAACTGTAAAAGCGCCAACTCTGGCTCTTGAAGAGAAGGTGAAAGGCCATGCATGCTGACCTGTTTTCAGGAGGCATCTATCTCCCGACCCCCGACTCCCTCCTTTAGGGGCAGAAGCCTCTGAACAAGCCTGGCTCTTCCTTAGCTGTGCTTCTCCACTCACGCGAGTCCACCGCCTGGAACACCTTGTCCTGTCTCCAGTCAGAGGTCACATTGTGGCCTTGTTGGCCGAGAGCCACACAAATGATCAAACACTGAACCAGTTACCTCATTCCTACCGATTTAGACTCCGATCGTTCATCAGATGCAAAAAGTCACATGCTTGAAACGTGACCTGTAGTGTTTACTTCCAACACACACACACACACACACACGTGCGCACACCCGTGCACACACATACAAACCCCACTGGAAACAGCTTCGATATTGGTAAATAATGCCACATCCACTGGGTTGAATTGCAGAGCTGTTGATACAAGAGGAATTGGAAGACAATGGCAGAACATGTAGAGAATAAAATCCAGGCCCAGCTCTGGTCTGCAAAGCCCCCCTTGAGCTAGCCCTGGCTCCTTTCCAACTTCACCTTCCACTCTTCTCCCCTCGTTCCAGACCCATGGGCCTCCTTCTCTTCCCCAAATACTCCAAGGGCATTTCTACCTCAGGGCCTTTGTACCAGCTACACATGTATGCAATAGAAAAAGGGTATACATGGAAAATAATGTGCAAAAATGAAAAGGGAGAAGTGCTATTTGGGAAAATGAGCTCAACTTTTTTTTAACCTTTCTCAAATTATTGAATATCGTAACATGGTGTGAAACTGTATAAAGAGGATAGACCCTCTTTGATGTCATTCATACTCATTTCAATGTCTACTTCTACTTCTACTCTCTTGCTGTGTGACTTCAGGCGAGCCACTTAGCATCTCTGAGCTTCAGCAGTTTCATCTGTAAAATTGTTACCACATTCCCTTATTCAGAGGGCTGGTATGAGGATTAAAGAGAAAAGGAGAAGAAAGTGTTCAGCACAGTACTTGGCACACAGGGGGGCCTCCATAAAGGTCCCTTCTTCGAACTGATCAATTCAGTTTTGTTTCTTATGATTTGTTTTTGTTTTGGACTGAATCCACATGTCAACCCTCTACGACTTCCCAGAGTCAGGGACTCCCTTCTGAAACCCTGCTCAACGTAGGACACAGTTATAAACACTAGACTTGCTGCTTGTTGGGCTTCCCCCTTAGCTCCTAGAAGGCAGGACCCTCGCCTTGCTCACATCTGGATCCCACAACACCTGGCTTAGGGCTGGGTCTAGAGGGGGCTCTCAGTGATGCTGAATACATGAATGAATGAGTCACAGACCGGGGATGAGCAGGGAGCTTAGACGTAGAGTTTTCATAGAATTTTAGGGTGGGAAGGGATCAGAAGGCTCATTTCAGTTCAATCCCCTTTTTATAGATGAAGAACCTCAGGCTCAGAGAGGGTAAGGAACGTGCCCCAGGTCACTCAGCCAGACAAGGTCAGGTGCTTGGCTCCCAGCCCACCAAGCCATGCCACTGCAACTCTGGGCAGAAGCCCTGAAAAGGGCTGAGCCCTGGACCCCAGCAGTCAGCCCTGGTCCTCTCTGGGGTAAAATACAGGCTGGGGGAGGAGAGGGTTACGTCAGTGATTGTGCTAATCAATCAACTCAATTAAATCTAGAATGGTTAAAAAAAAAAAAGTAGTAAACAAAAACAGCAGCAGAAAGTAATGACTAATAATCAAGTAAAATTGGATTATTTCTGTGCTGAGTGGTTGGGGTGGGTAGGGAAGTGAGAAAGTTCACTGGAGTGAGGAAAAAGTGAGAGAAACAGCAAGCTCAGCAACCTGGGGATACTGGGGGCCTGGGGAAGGACCTGGAGGGGCAGAATTCCAGGGCCTGATACGAAAATCCATTTGTCAAACACAGAACTATGTCCAGGCACTGTTCTAGTGCGGCACACATACTGACTTGCTTCCTGTTCGCAGCAACCCTAATAGGTCAGAACTGCCACGATCCCATTTTACAGATGGGGAAACTGAGGGACAAGGGAATTAGGTCACACCGCTGGGGTAGAGCCAGGATTTATTTGGACTCCTGTTGTCTAACACCCTGAAGGAAGAGCGATATGCTTCCTGGGGTGGGCATGAGAGGGGCTTTATGTGCCTGGGGATGAAACACATTTTCCTCATATATATATATATATATATTTAAAATTCTTTTCAGTAATCTCTGCCCCCAACACGGGGCTCCAACTCATGACCTTGAGATCAAGAGTCACATGCTCTAGCGACTAAGCCAGGCAGGCGCCCCACCCCCTCATTTGCCTCATATAAAAAGTAGTTGCTACCTGTTCATTTGATTTCCTTTACCATTTACTGAGTGGAACACAACAGGGATTCTGCCCCTAAGCTCGGAAGCTCATGGCAGACACAAGTGAACGATGGCAATACCGTGTTCACAAGTGTGATGACAGAGTCACACACTCATGTTCAGGGAACTCCTGAAGCAGAGAGAAAGGGTGTCTAGCTCTCCTTAGGGGAGGAGGGTCCTGGAAGGCTTCCTGGGGGAGGTGCCATCTAGGCGGTTTTGAAAGACAGGTGAGGTGTTAGCCAGGCCAGTAGGGGAGCAGGTGTGGAACGGCTTCCCAGGCAGCGCAGGGCCAGCACGTCCAAGTCACAGAGGTGGGAAGCTGCAGTACACATCCAGGGAAGAACACCTGGGGAGTCGGGACAGAGGTGTGTGGCACGGGGCGGGGCCAGGAAGGTCACAGGTGAGGGCAGAGCAGGAGATCCGGATGGAGAGGAGGGCAGGGGCCAGTTCCAGTCCTGGGTGCTAACTGAAGGGGTTTGGGCGCTGGAACGTCTGCGGGGCTGGCTCGCAGCAATCCTGGAGCGCCTGCGGGGCTCGCCGCATCACACCCCACGCCCTGCGGTGCTGGTCTGCCCCCCGCCCTCCCCCGCCCACGCACAGAGGCCATGCCGGTGGAGCGGCCACCTGGGATCTGCAGGGCAGCTGGTTACACACCGCCTTCGGGGTCCCCGCCGTCAACGGGGCGGCGGGCTGAGCAGGGCAGGCGCCTCTCCCTTTCTCCAACAAGGAAACGGAGACTCCAAGAGGTAAAATGCCCACCCCACAGCTGGCTTAGAACTCAGGCCTTCTGCTTCCTAGTCCTGTCCCCTCCCCCCTGCCCCCATGCACCCTTTCTTTGCAGTAGGAATGCATTAGCAAAGCTGGCTATTTAAAGGAACCCCGCACTAATCCCTGTGTAAACAGAAAATCTTTAAGCAAATCTAATAATCGCTGTTAATCCAGCTGTTACATAATTCTGGGCTTTACAGCACAGCACTGGGGCTAAGGTATTGTGGTCCCTACACAACCTTCCTTGTGGGGAGAGCTTGGGGTTGGGACAAGGAGCTGGTGAAAGCTCAGAGGGGGAGGAGCAGAGGTTGTCAGGAGCAGTTGGGGCAGGCTACCTTCATGGGTAGGAGCCACTGAAAGGAGAAGTGGGGCTGGAAGTTCTCAGGTAAGCAGCGCATGCATTCCCGCAGCCCTGCAAACGAGCCACAGCCCCATGTTTCCAGCAGAGCTGGTGGCGGGGGTATGGGCTGCTTGGTGTTGGGGAGAGGTGAATGGAAAGTAGAGGAGGGGACTTGAAGCTACATCAGTCAGCTTGTTCCACATCTTCTAAATACCAAGAAACAAAAAAGGAAGATAGCTCCACTTTTCAAAAGGGGAAATGGAGGTAGTGGGGAGTATAAAGTCAGTAAGGCTATTCCTTTAGCCCATCAGCACTCCCCAACCCCCCCACGCCAGATAGCTTACGGGGCAACTGATCCCCCTATTCTGGGTCAGTCTCCTTATCTGATTATTAGCCTCTTGCTGGCAGGGTCCATGGCCTATATTTGCCTTTGTGCCCCAGCAAAAGTGCCAAGTAAATAGCAGGTGCTCGATAAATGCGTTGAGCGGGGAATAAAACTGGTTCATTTCACAGAAATTAGATTGAGAAGAGGGATAAGAGAGAACCAAGATCTTGATTTAAAGCTGATAAAGGGAAAGGAAGAAAAATGGGAAATCACATTTATCAGGCATCTCTTGTATGCCTGGCATTATACTAATTCTATTTAAAACAACACTATTTTAAGTAATATTAAACAATAGTATAATTAGAACAATATACTATTCTTATATTCTGGCTAGCGTAACTTGCACAGAAGGGATGAGTAATGTATTAAAGTTTCTCTAGTTAGCAATACTAATAATTGCTAATATATAA